TCATTGAGGAGTCCAGACCCATAATCATTATTGTATCAGAGAACAGTGAGAGTTTATATACTTGAGCTTGCCTCTGATATCCAATCATCACTTTACAGTTGCCAAACTGTCTATTTCATATTTATCTTAGAAACAGATCTTTCAAGGTTCAACATTTAAGAAGGCTAATATACAATAACATTGGTCAAACACAGACTTGGTTAGTCATCTGTAAGTTCATATTTAATTACCAGTTAAAGTTTAGCAAGTTGTAATTAGTTAGCTTTCTACTCCTCAGCATAGGAAACAGTTAGTAATTTGGCAATCTGCTATTACAAACTATTTGCTCTGCTATTGAACATTGATATTGTTATTTCCTTTAGTATTCTGCGTTAAATAAACCATTTAAAGTGTTCGAGAGAACAGTATGTTTTAACTGCAAACTTATAATTGACCAAGCAGGCATTACAATAGTCTGTCTCATCAGCATCTGTATTAAGTAAGATGTAAGTATTTTGACATCCATCTTTTCAATGTTCTTTGTTCCTTTATTAGTTACATAGTGTATCCATCTAACAAAGTTTCCAAAATGGAGGTTTAAGCTAAATTCTTTTCATTATTTGTAATTCAGATGAGTTAAAGTCAAAAGAAAGCCTCAACTGTTAAAAATGATTCATGGTGAGCTTCTAATATTTTTTAACTATTGAAATTACCTGATTTTGTGTTCTTTCACTTCATTATCTATTGATGATTCCTTATTAATAGCACTTTCGTCATTTTCTTGAGGAATTATTACTTTGATGATAAATATCTATGTTCTTTAATTTAATAAATAATTTTCGGTTCATATTTGTGAAGATTCCAAAATGGAGGTTTAAGCTATTAAGTCTGTATTGATAACAAATATCCTCTTATTGCAGCCCTGCAAGAAGGACACTCAGATTTCGGAAGACTCAATAGACATTGTTTACAAGTCAGCACATGACTACAGGGTAAAATCAGCATATATAAGCTATTACAACACATTTTTCATTCCAAACTGCGCAAAACTTCATGAAAAACTTTGCTTGTTCATTGATGAACTGACTGAATCATTTGTATTTCTGGAATTATATTATATCAAAATTCCAAAATATGGAAAAAAAAAGACAAGACTTACTTTTTAGACATTAATACTTACTGTACGTGTATATCGGTTAGATATATTTTGCAATAGATAAGTAGTGTAAACCGTGATTGTGCTGTGCTGATAGCACTGGTAGAGATAAGCAGTGACATAGAACTAAGGTGAATAAACAATGTGCCACAATAAATTCCATTAAATTATAGACATATAGTGTATTTCAATTATGCTTGTTCAGTTGTCCCAATCCAACTTGATTGGTATCAGTGTGAACATACATCCATCAGCTATATTCTACAATAGAGAAGTAGTATTGAACCAGTATTGTACAATGCAGATAGCACTGATAAAGATAAGCAGTAGTGACCTAGTTTCGCATAGGGCAGTGCATACACATTATGCAGCAATAAAACCCATTAAATTATATAAAGAATATTTGCTATTTGCAACATAGCATTAATATTACAATTTATTAATCCATACATTTATGATTTTGAACTAAACACAGTGCAATCAAGTATGAATTATGCTTAAATTCTAAGTTTAGATTATATTGACTATTCAACAGTATTGTATACACAATACTGTTCTTCTTAACATGCATTAATCAGATATACTTCCTCTGCATATGCTGATGCTAAATTTACTAACTCAATCAATTCAATATCATTATTAAGGTAGAATATAAAAACGGTCAAATATAC